AATTAAAATTTTATATAAATATAATGTATAAAATTTATATATAAATAAATTTTTTTTATTTTTAAATATTATATTTAACCGATTAAAAAAATTATAAAACAATAAAATTACACTAAAATTTTGCATCCTTAACTAACAAATATCATGGTTCCAATAACCTCAGTTTTAAAAAAAGGCGTTTAGATTCGCGATTGGAAAGCTGTTCCCATTTTTCCCTCCCTCAAACGAAGTCCCCAGCACTGCAAAAGCAACTCAGAAGCTAAGCTCCTGCTCTTTTCACTCTCTCGTTCATTCCATCGCGAAAAATGGATGATGAAGAAATGGACGAAACCGAAGCCGTGTCTCAGGTTCATTTCTTCAGCATTTATTTATTTTTTTCTTGTTTGGTTGCCGAGAAAATGGAGGCAACTAAGGAAACATCTCGCATTTTGATTTCTATGATCTTGATTCTATTTTCTCACCATCCAAACAAGAATAAACAGAAAATATCACTGGTACATGATCATTGATTACAAGTATTTTGCGATTTAGTTTCTGCGTTTTTAATTTTGCTGCCAATAGACCGATTTCGAAGTTGGACGTTAATTTCATTTTGTATATCTAAATCATTTTCGTCGTACTAAGACGATTTCAATTAGGCATTTAGCTTCTGTTCAATTTTATTGTTCGTTTCATATTATTTTTTAGAAAATAATTTGTTATATCTTGAATTCAATCGTCTGTCTGTACTAAGTGCAGGTCTACATGGCATGCATTCTACAAGGTCAGAGGTGAGTTTCATCGGATTACTGGTTGTTGTTTTCTATGTGTGTTTTTCTTGTTTTTTTTTTTTTTTTTTAACAAAAATGTTTTAATTTTATAGTGTGTTGTGGGTGTATGTGTCACTTAAGTTTCATCTTATGATGTGTGTTTTTTTATTTTCTAGAGTTGGAGTTTCATATTATGACTCTGGTACTTGTCAACTTCATGTGTTGGAAGTTTGGGATGATGGCAGCTTAGACTTTCCTCTTATTGATCTAGGTAGGCATTACATGACTTTCTTTTAGAGGAATATAATCTTAATCTTATAGTTCAGATATTTGGTCTGGTGTTTATTGATGTTTGAGGAATCATAATATGGTTGTTAACTGAAAATTTTTCCTGTGGTTCTTGCACTGGTTCAGTTAAGTATCAAGCTAAGCCCCTGATCATATACACAAGCACGAAAAGTGAAGAATCCTTTTTAGCTGCTTTGCAAAGAAGTGGTAGGCTCTACCTATATGTGGTTTAATTTATCTGGAATACTGGCTTCTGGGTCTTATTTTACTTCTTAATTGGTGTAGATGGAACAACAGAAGGTCCTTCAGTGAAGCTTGTAAAGAGTTCAATATTCAGTCATGAGCAAGCATGGCACAGGTGGTATAGGATATTGAAAACATATGCTGACACATTCATTTGAAGTATCCTGAAATTTCATATGATGCCTTTTTCCTTTGGTAAATTGGATCCTGAAAACATACACTGACAGTTTTATTTGATCTATCCTGGATGTTTGGTTTTTTATAGATTGACATATCTTCAAGTAACAGAGATGGATGATGGGCTAAACATCAAGGAGAGAATTAGTTATGTAAGTTCCATAATGGTAGTACTAATAGATTGTGACCATTTGTGCTATATTTCACGTTTGAGAAAAGTTCTGCTGCATTGCAATTGGATTTTTCAGGCTTCTAAGCCATTATTTCTGACCTTCTAGGGTAATCTGCAGTTACAGTTTCATTGCACCATAACATGATAACCATTTGAACTCTGTCATGTCTGCTACGGAACCTTCTTGATATATAACAGTTAAATTACATGCTTAGTTTTTATTATCAGGATGCTAAACATACACATGTAAGAATATGTTTACCTATCTTAGGCATTTCTTTCTCTGTGTTATGATTTTTGGTTCTGTTTAATATCTCTCTTTTTTTGGGCCAACCAAGCAGATAAAAGATGGAAATATCACTTCTTATCTTTTATGTTTGAAAAGTTCGAATATCTACAGTCCAGTCAGTGGTTTTAGGATGCATCATTTTCTTTACTCACGGTATTTTCTTAGTCTTTTGATGGTTACTTGTGTTAGCTTTCTGAAGTTTTCCAAGAGAAAAAAATATTAGTGCTTAACAGTAAGGATTCTCATGCTATCTTTACCTCCTATTTTCTTTAGGGGATGTAGTGAGGACAGCATCCCTCTCTGGCAATAGCAGTAACAATGTCATTGAGGCAGTATGTAGTAGTTTATCTTGACATAATGTCACGTGCGTTAGGTTTATCTTCTTTCTTTCACAAACTACAGCTTAGTTCTATGATGGACATGGGAAGTGATGTCCAAGTTCGTGCAAGTGGGGGCCTCCTTGCTATTTTAGAAAATGAAAGGATTGTGGATACCCTTGAACAGAAGGAATGTGGAAATACATCAATTTCAATTGATTCTGTCATACAAATTTCTCTGTATCTTTTAATGTGCATTTATAATGCATAAGAAATCAGTTATTCTTGGTTTTTTTCCCCCAAGTTTCAAATCCTAATTTGTATAAGAGTAAATAATTCAGCAAATGAACTTAACTTATATTGCATTCCTTTACAAGAAAAATAGAAACAAGTTCCTTAAACTTGATGCCACAGCACATGAGGTGCTGCAGATCTTTCAAACAGACAAGCATCCAAGCCATATGGGCATTGGTAGAGCAAAAGAAGGGTAATCATTGATACTGTATGTAAAACCTAGAATTTTTGTTCAGATTCTTCAGAATTGTTTAGGTGCTTTTACACAAATTTATCTGTACTGGTTTTTTGACATGTAGGTTCTCTGTGTTTGGCATGATGAACAAGGTTTGTAAAAGTTATGTGATTTCATTTTGTAGCATCTTTCAGATGTTGGACTAATTCATTTTCTGTTAAACCAGTGCGTGACACCTGTAGGTAGACGTCTTTTGAGGTAAGACGAACTGCAGAAATTTGGGGTCTTAACTGGTTCTGACACTGCTCAAATCCAAGGACTTATTTAAATGGGTTGCTTGTTTCAGAAACTGGTTCCTGAGGCCTATACTAGACCTTGAAAATTTGAGAAATCGTCTCAATGCTGTATCCTCCATTTTTTCTTAAGTTTAACCATTTGAGGGTAGATTTACCTTGCCTGAATTAAAATTCTGTTGATTAGTATGTTGAGGGAAGAGTAATGGAGGCTGAACCATCATGAGATGTGAGGTCTACTTGCAGAAATTCTAGTTCTAGATTATATTCTTAATTAGTCATCAAGTTAGCTCGTTGTCTTTGACTAGATTAAGATATCATTTTTTCTCCTGTCTGAGGAACTGATGATTTCTTTACAAGAAACTCTGAAATCTGTGAAGGATGTTCCTCACATACTCAGGGTATGATAATTTCTGTTAAAGTGTTTTCATTTTGTTCTCTCTGGTATATTTGACATGCCCATAACATGCCCGTCAAGATCATGTGATATGTGGAGTTGTTTCTTTACAGTCTTGATAATGTAAATATTAAAGGTTCACTTCACTTTGTTATATGAGTGACTTCTTACATGCTGGCTTGGCATTTGCTTCTGCAGCTTTGCAATATTCATATATTGCTGTTGTGAAATCTCATGTTGGGCTGGCATTAATGACCTAGCACTAAATCAAAAAGTATTATTTGTAATACTAATGTCTCTTTGACACATTTATATTTCTAAATTTTGTGACTGATTTCTTTTCTTCTGGAAGAAATTTAATTCACCAAGCTGCATGTGTACTGGTGGTGACTGGACAGCTTTTCTGAAGGTACACTAACATTCATTTGCAATGCTTTCATTTTATGTTTTCCTTTGGTTAATCTACTTTCCTGGAAAAGTGATTACAATCTAGTGTGACATCTTTTGATGATGATAAAAATGGCTTGCTTCTTGGCTCCCCCATCTTCCCCTTACACCCCAACGAAGTTCTTTAATAATTTCTTTATTGTTGTAGAGTGTTTGTTCCCTCTTGCATGTGAACAAAATATTTGAAGTAGGCATTTCTGAAAGTCTTCGGGAGCATGTAGAGTACTTGAATTTGGATATCATCACGAAGGTGTGAGATTATTTCTTTGACTGTGTCCTCAGTGTCATACTTATTGTTCTTTCATAATGGACATGAAGTACTTTTTCTAGAGTATTCATTTTATTTATTTGTTTATTTTTGTTTTCTGCAGGCAGGTTCATGCATCACAACTGAGCTTGCATATGTCTATGAATTGGTCAGTGCATGGTTATGACTCCATCTAATTTACTTTTGGTTATTGTGCTATAGTCAGACACTACCAACATAAATGCTTTTCTAACACTGTCCTGATACCTTGAACATTATACGGTGTAAATTGCCAAGTTTATTTATTTTTTATTATTATTATTATTTTTCATCCTTATTGGCAGCTTATATCTGGTACCACAGCAAGTTCAATGTCCTGCTATCTTCTTTTCTCATTTTACCACGTTAAATTGTGTAGTGATTCAATATCCAATCCCTCATCACATACTACTTATTATTGAAAGCATCATATAGACATGCATGATTTCAGTGTCACTATGGCATTGCTTGTTTAGCAAAAGAGTGGCTAATTAGTTTGATTTTTGTTTTGTAGGTCATTGGTGTCGTAGATATAAATAGGAGCAAAGAGAAGGGTTATGCAACATTGGTGAAAGAGGGTTTCTGTGATGAGGTTAGGTATTGAGTGCATTTCCTGTTTTCTAATATGTGGATAAAAGAAAGTAGTTACATCTAGTGAATCTATTCCGACTTTATATGGAGTTCAACCCATTCTACATTGTTCATCAAATGTATTAAATGTTCTGTTCCTTCATTATTGAGATGAAAAGCTGCTTCCTTTCATAAAATTCTTAATTATTATTAGTGTTCTTTCCATTTGCTTGCAGTTGGATGAGCTGAGACAAATATATGAAGAACTGCCGGAATTTCTAGAACAGGTACCTGTAATGTGAATTTTCCACACGGTTAAGTTAAGCTTTGATTTAGGTTTTCCAGAACCTGCAATTTTGATTAGCATCTTTGTAGGTAGCAGCATTGGAGCTTGCGCAACTTCCTCATTCATGTAAAGAGAAGCTTGTTCCTTGTATTGTTTATATACATCAAGTAGGTTAGTCTGCATTGCTTTAAAACTTTGTACATCAAAATAATTAACAATTTCACCTCAGTGAGATTGAATTTGATACAAGTAACTGATTACTAGCATTCAAAGATTTAGATTTCAATATCCTCCCTGTACTGTGTAACACATGGTTTATATAAATATCTATTTATGGAATAATAATTGCCCTCTATCATACTTTGATTGGTAAGGTGTTAGATTTAGTTGTTAAGTTAGTATTAGAAGTTTTGGTTAGATTGTGGTAGGTAGTTGCAAGAAGAGTAAATAGAAATGGGGAAAAAAAAATGAAGACATGAATTGCTCTATAATTCTTAAGATTTGGTAGCCAATGGTTTGTGGTGAACAAGGTATACTTCAAAACAAGTTATTTTTCTTCTGCTTCTTTAATGCCTAATGATATTAGTTTTATTGCTAAGGAACTTTAAATCCGATACTGGTTCATTGTAAATAAGTAACTTCTTTCATGGCTACCTTTTTTGCTTTTATTGTTTGTAGGATACTTGATGTGTGTTTTTGAAGAAAAAATTGATGAAGCCACACTAGAGAAACTTCAGGCTTTTGAGTTTGCAGTAAGTTGATAGTTTTATCTGATTCATACTTATCTAATTTCAGCATTTAAAGACAGTAAGTTGATATCTTTTATGCTAGATTACTTCTAGTATGAATCCGGGTATATTCTGTAACTATGGATATGTTATCAATTCAGTTCTCTGATTCTGATGGGGAGACAAAAAGGTTCTTTTACCGTACACCAAAGACACAAGAGTTAGATGATCTTCTTGGAGATATATATCATAAAATTCTAGGCAAGTTACAAAATGCTTCTCTTAGATATGTTTCTACTTTTTTCTTTTTTTTTTAATCTTTCACTGTTTGAAATGCTCTCTCAAGAAAGAATAAAGTACCATTTGGTTTTAGAGATAAATATTGTTAACTTGTCCCAAGATTAATTTCACTCAGCTTTAGCAAGAACTAATAAGGATATAATCCATGTCATTGTGTAATGTCTTCATTATGTTTAATGAATTTTTGGGTTATTTTATGTTTTTTAATTTCCTTGTTGAAGATATGGAGCGGGCAATCATTAGAGACTTGGTCGCCCATGTTTCAATATTCTCAAAACATTTGCTTGAGGCTGTGAATTTCACAGCAGAACTTGATTGGTAAGATTTGTGCCTAAAGCACCATTTCTCTCTCACAGGCACACCAAAGGGCAGTGAGCATGTGGATTTGGGTCTTTTTTTTTTTTTTTTTTCTTTTTCACAAGAAAATATTTGTGGGCTATCTTTGTTATGTACCTGATAGCTGGGTGATAATTTGCT